ATTGGTAAGCTACAAAATTAAACTGACTATAACATTTAGCAAAACAGTTCCAGTTCTACTTTAACATATTGTCTAACATCTCTTTCTCCCTTTAAAGTATATGATCAGTAAAAAAGGTTGCATTTATAAGTAGTTGCATTAGTTAAATTAGAATAATTAAAATTACTTCTGTTGCTTTGGATAATTTTATAGTAGTTTCATTCCAAGCATCTTCTTGAGACATCCCAGAATTGATTAGTTGATTAATAGAAAAGTAACAATTCTCAATTTTACTAAAAACAGGTTAATGCAATTAGATTATGTCGATTAATTGAAAAATAACATTTACCTTCCAGCGACTTGTAAGAATGCATTACCAATACAGTCCAAATCTGTGATCCAGTTCTTACGTCTTGAGCTTTTGAAATTACTTAAATACAATACGGTTTCAGTTAATTTTAGTCCAGATTTTGCATCTTGACATGCTTTCATCAAATACCTACAAAATTGAAATTAATTAATACAGATTAAAAATTATTATTTAAAAAACGATTAATTAACTGTGTTTTTAATTTATTAACTATTTATGCTATCAAGATATAAAAATTTAGGTTTTTCAATAACCCAGTAGGTAAACTATTATTTTAAAACGCAATCTTAAGTAAAAGTGAGTATAGAATATGGGGATGGAGTTGCATTGTATATTTATAACTTAACAATAAATAGTGTAAAATGTAATTTGTTTTAAATTACTATTTTTCATGTTCAAATTGAATAATTTTAATTATTCAAAATCCTTTGATAAAACCTTAAAAGCATTACCTAGCTGTTTGCAAAAGTAGTACAGTGTTCTCTCCTTCATATGTTTCAGCAGCAGATGCCATTGCATACATATTTGGGAAATTACTACAATTCATATACCCATGACCTCCACATGCTAAACGGCATGTTGTTACTGCAACAGCAGCATCAGCTGTACTAACAGCTTTCAAACAGCAAGCCATTGCATGTAACTAAATATATTAAATTAATGTTTTATTTGACATGTAAAATGTATTTTAGAAACAGGTGGATTTTGAATTACTAGTTAAGATTAATGACATTTCCATGCATTTTACCTCAGGTAATCGTTCTAAATCTCCTTGTTCTAATTGTGAAGTAACATCATTATAAACATCCCAAAGCCATGATGCAGCAAATTTGTATGCTAAGCTGATGGCAATAGCCGGAAAAATTTTATACTGTTGTGTTTGATAATCTAAAATTTGAGGTTCACCAGCACTAATAAAATAATTTTTTTTTACAAACATGTAAGTAAAATTAAATTATTACATTAGCTTTAATGTTAAATAATTAATATTTACCCTGGTTTTAGTTCTGATTGCCTTCTAACACAACTATATCTCGTAGCAATTATTGCAGCTTTTGATATATAACTTGATACTAAATCTCTTACAATTACTACACGTACAAAAATCATGGTACCATAAGTTAGTTTATCGTTCACTGATTTTTTATAAGTACCATCCTTAAAAAAAAAAGTAAATAAATAATAAATACTGTATAATAGTTATGAATTACTTTTCAGCATCAAAATATTTATGTACGTTAGTACATTATACATATTAATGGATCTATGAATCAAACTATAATATATTAATATTGTACCTTCAGAACTTGAGCATTTTTCATCAGCATATTCATTCTGGGTATTCTCACGTTATTGAATGCTAAATATCCATTATTAGTTGAGTTCATACCTAATTTTCCACCAATTTCACCAATTTTTATGCCTAATACCAGTGACGAATAAAATGTAATTATTAAAATCATATTTTACAATTTATTATTATATTATTACCAGGCATTGGCTTCCATGTTTCTTCATCTCTGAGTTGAACTATAAATGGGTGGATACCATGACATTTTCCTTGGGTGTAAAGTTGAGCTATCACAACTGCGTAGTTACAGGTATGTCCAACTAAAAATTGATAACTCTTACAGTTAATTAGATAAATCACATTTTAAAATAGCTTACGTCCACCGGGCCACCATTTATATGATGTTAATGTAGGACTATTCAAAACAAATTCTTCTGTAGCTGGATCGTAAGTACAAATTGTTTCTAAGCCTCGAATAAATGTTCCATGACCAAGTTCAGTCTGAATAAAATATTTCAATATTTTCTTTTTTAACTCAAGATATCTAGAAAAGTCAAAATCTAAATAGCGAAATACCTGAGCATAAGTGCCTATAATCTGATTGCTAAAAGCTCGACCAACCCATTCTCCTTGTTGCTCCAAGGTTCCTTGACCCATAATTGTTGGTATAAACATGACATAATGTACCGCAAAAGGGGAACCATCTTTAATTATTGCACTACCTACTGATCCACCTAGAAGTGATCTGAAATAGTAATGATAATTATAAACCATAATTTCTTATATATATTTCCTCCATACTTATAAACCTCCATTGAATTGCTACCACTATCACCACTTTGTTGCCATTCATTGACTTTTTTGAATAAAATACAACTTTTACGCACAGCTTCTTCATAACGCTCTTTGTGACTTAGGTATTCCATAGGAATTTTATCTTTCAAATTCAGATCGGAGAGAAAAAAGGATTCTAAAATTTTTTTTAATTAAAATATTTGCATGTTAATACAATATTGTTAACAACTAATCAACACAAACCTAGTTTTCTTCTACTGAGTGTTTTATTAGCACTTCCATCCAAAAAATTTGTAAGTTCTTCAGTGTTAAATGTACACTTAAGGCGTTCTTTTTGCAGATCCGCATTGACTTTAAGCTTCATTTTAGTTTAAAAGTTCGTAATTGTTAAATATGAATAAAATAAATTAAGTCTTCTAAAAATAAATGGTTTTATTTTTACTATTTTAGATTGACGATGTCACTGTGTACGGTTTTAAATTATACGAATTCAAATTATGTGATTGAAAAAAAATGAAGGTTTTGATATTTTACAGAAAAATACTAAAACATGTGTAAAAAATACGAACTGAGAGAAACTCGATACGAGTAGATATATTATGACGACATAATGGAACTATTGAGAGAATGTTCAACGAAGAGGGAGAAATAGAAAATACCTATGTTTATGCAAACACTGCGAAATACCGGTCCTAAGAGTCCTCAACAATATTATTAAAACGAGTCGAAATGATAATGACGGTGATGATGATATTATGATGACGATGACGATGACGGATGAGTGCGTTGTGACGAAGGTGAGGAGAGAGAATGACTATACTGCTATTACTGTAACTCTTATTTTTTTCGTCTTTAAACCACACCAATTAATGTGCAAACAAGTTTACGTAAATAAAAATTGGTAGTAGTCGGTTTTCAGTCGGCCAGTGGGTCACGTATCAGACATCAGTCTAGTCACTAGTCAGTACCTCGAGAATTGTACGCAGTAGATGGGCGAAACTAGTAACTACCTATTTAGTATTTATTAATTTATATAGTATTTACTATTTACTATTTATGCCCATAAAAATAATTACTTTGTAACAAATTAATGATGAACTATTGATTTATCAGTTTATCAGAACTTCGAGATAAAAAGGCTAAAGAGCAACAAAGTACAAATCTGTTATCTGAGTAATCAACAGACAACAAATAAGTAACAACAATCATCAATCTTAAAAATATTATTATTATTATTATTACTATTAACGTCATCATCATCACTTACAGCACCACAGAACGCAGCAGTGCAACACTTAGTCAACTACAAGTATAATATAGTCAGGCACGTACACAAAAAAATTTTCGAGGGGTTCATAAACAAATTGTCACCGACGAGTTATTGACTATTGCAGTGGCGTAGCCAGGGGGTATGCTGAGGGGGCTGCAGCCCCCCCTGAAAAAAAATCCTGTGTACGCCACTGGACTATTGTAGTTATCGATGATCGATATAAATAAATTACACAACTATTAATTTTCACCTAACCCCCCTCTCCCCTGTATACGTGCCTGAATATAGTCATGCAAGATTCTAGTTGCATTGATTATTTGTAAAATAAAAAAATTCAAAATTATTCACATTTTTAGAAAGGGGTTTGTTGAAATGAGCGTAAAGTTTGGATGGATTATTATACAATGTTTTTATAAGTACATATACCTATAGCCCATACACTTAATGGAGCGTCAGAGCGAATTTTTCTCATTTGAGGGGTTTATGGATTACCCACAGAATATAATATATGATCCCTAATAATCCCACCCGTATGGACATATAGAAGGGAAGGAAAAATTGTTCATTTATGTCTACATTGTTTTAAAAATTGATGAACATTTATTTTTTTATTTTAACTGTAGTGCTTTACGTTTGACTGCAAATGTGTTGTGGAATGGACATCATCGTAACTATATAGCCACTAGGGGACTGATAATAATACAAAATTCCAATTTTTGTATAAGCATTTGTAGTTCAAGTCTTGACAAAATTTGTAAAAATTTCTCATATCTACAATTTTCCTACTGGTTTTTTTTTTAAATAATGGTTTGAAGTTATAACTCAATACAAACATGTCCAGTAGGGTCATTATTTTCTTGAATAATAAATTAAAAAATAAAATAGTAACACCGATTCAAAAGTATAGTTATACGATTTTTTTTGTTATGTTACGTATCATTCAATAAATATTAACTTAAAACATTTCACAATTACTTAAATAATTTTAGTTTTTTACACACAATTTGAAATTTTTTAACTTGGTAATTGTTTAGATATTTATAGAAATTTTAAATTTTAAAATTATTTGAGGTATTATTTCTATAAATGCCGATAAATATTCTTAAATTCGATCAAAAAACTTGAAAATTGAATATACAAGGTTTCTCAAAGTTGTATTTACCTACATAATAGCAAATTAAAAATATTAAAACTACAAATGTGTAATATTTCTTTATAATATTTTAAAGTTTTAATTCTAACAAAACGTTGTATTTCAGTATTTATTCAAAGAATAACAATTTTAATTGTTAGGTACCTATATAATAATTCAGGAAAAATAATCTAGGGATTTGAAACTTGTCGCCATCGAGTACATTTACTGTACACAAAATGAAATTTTTAACATGTTTTGACTATTTTTAAGTTATTAATACCACCAATCTATTCACACCATTTAACTATTAGTACCTAGTGGTGTTGACTTATAAGTTAATAACAATACAATACACAGGTATATGATATAAATATATATATATTATAGTAAATATTAATTAATATTAATTGAAATCGAGTTTGACAGTGCGTCTCAATAAAGATTTATCATAGAATTCGCATTCAACACATCCATTGCAGTGACCTGTAGTACCTTAGGAGTTACGACCTTACTAACCTAACCTAACCTACTTATTGACGAGGAAGATACCTACACGTCTCAACTTCCTTGTTTTTTTAATTTTAAAATTGTCTAGGTATTTATATTTTGTATTTTTGTGTGATACTATGTAAGTAAACAGAACTGAGAATTTCATAGTTTCTTATATATCATTGTATTCAGTGTTTCAGTGTAAAATATATTGATATAGTAAAACAATATATTATATTAAATAGGTACATTATAAAATATCCCGAATAAATATATTTTAAAAGCGCGGTGAAAAAATTATGTCATCCGGTAGTTGATGTGTTCGTCACTTGGCGCGTATTAACACGTATTGTATATTGTTCTATGATCATTTACAGCTGTTCTGTGGCTTTAATGACGTGGTTTAGCGTTCAACCGGTAACCATTAACCATGAGAGGAAGTCCGGGAATGGTCCGGAACCTTTCCCATGAAACAATTTTTTTTAGATAATAGAATATTTAATCTATTAACTTTTTAGTTTTTTCTATGAAGTATTAAATAATAGAAAGATTGAAATCTGAAATATCGATATTACGCTATATTATGCCGTGTTTGGTATAATCTGATTTCTTTACTAACCGATTCCAGACTCTAGTAGTCTAGTACCCGTAAATTAATTATTAGTAATTGTGTACGCAAACGTGCTTTCAAATTTTAATATCACATCTGCATCAAACAATTATTGATTTGTGTCGCTGTAGTAAGTTGTGTGTTCAAACTCAATGTAAATATCGGACTTTCGTTGTCACAATAATCAAATCGGTCGACCGATAAAAATAATACAACATACATTTCGCATCCATTAACCTCGGAGTCACTACGTAGTGCGTCAGAAATTGGCATTTTGTAAACGAAAGAACTGTAGTCAGTTAAAATTTGCACATAGGATCGTCAAGATTTTGATATGTCTGTCAAGTATGTATTGGTGTCGGACGAAGAATATGGTGAAGCGGTCGAATTGCCGCTTGAGGACAATGGTACATTACTGCTGTCTACTTTAACGGCCCAGTTTCCGGGGGCTAGTGGTCTTAAGTTTCGTACCGAAAACAATGTTGTCAGAGGCGTTCGGTTGGCCGACTTCCGATTTCATGTGCCTGACAACGAATGGGGAAAAACACCTTACTATTGTGTTTTCCCTAAAGGTTAGCTATCACCTATTTTTAGTTATAGTATTACGATAATGTTTTTATATTTTCTCCACTTAACCAAATGTCTTGCCATTTTTCTAACCTCTAAATTTTAATATACTTAACTGAGCATGTAAATAGGTACAAAGATTTGTTATATATTGATTAAATCTATTTAATTGCCGAGCCGTAATAGTTTAGTACTGAAAGCTATATACATAAATAAAAACAAAATATTGGTTAAATCAAATTATCCTATATAGGTATTTATAACATTGGTAGCCATTCTTATAAAAGTAAATTAATTTACAATTTTGGAGGTGCTTGCATAAATGTACATTATATATGTAAGAGAAATTAAAATTTTTCATATTTTAAGAATAAATTGTTTTCATCATGTGGTATTATTAACATAAAAAGTTATATATTATGAAAATACATTGTAACCGAGTCTAATAATAACAATAAAATTATAAATAACTTAATATAAATTAGTTGATACAAAACTACTATAGAATATTGTAGGTTCTAAGTAGGTTTATTAATCTATTAATGTATCCTGTTTCTCTTTCTCTAAATCAGCGGTTCTCGAATTGTGGTATGCGAAAGACTAAATGTTGATACTCGGAAGGCCTTAAGTAACACTGAACCAGATATTTCATTGCTAATATCAAATCTACAAATCCATGGCTCTCATTGAAAATTTTTTATTTACTCCATACCTTAATTTTTAAACACTAATAAATTTGTATTAATAAATAAATAATAATTATATTGTAGTATTTTACTGCATTTTTATTTAGAATAATGTATTTAAGTATGTAAGGTTTGTATCTTTCTTTTTTTAATCATCAATGGTACGCGACTGATTGATAATATACTTCAGTGGTAGGTACACGAAAAAAAAAAAGTTTGAGAACCGCTGCTCTGAATCATATAAAAAAAAATATTTAAAATCACCAGTTGGAGGATATTACATTTAACATTTTTTTTAATAAATGAGTATGAATGCAGTATTTAAAATAAACCATTAATATTATTATTATTGCATTTAATTCTCATTAAATTTGAATGTAAAACTGAACAGTTAAATAGAAAAATGTTCTTTAACCCCATCTATGAGTTTTTTTCCATAACATACATAATTAAATATTTTAGGACGCACATTTAATTCATTACTTTTTTTAAAAATTTTAGTTGCGTATTGATATTGAAAAAAAAAGTTTATGATTAATAATTATTAATATCATTGGCCAATACTACTTGGTAGACAATTTACGTTTTTTAAGGATGGAAAATATTTGATTAATCAATATATTATTTTTTTAATTTTATAGATTTTTTTGCATTAAAACTATCTGATTCACCCATCTATATGGCAAATTTAATGTACTATTGGCTAACGATAATATGTTTATCTAATACCATTAATCTGGTGATTGGTCAAAAAGTCTATTGTGTTAAAAGTTGGACAAGAAGTCCGGACTTTTTTTTTTACCGTTGCACAAAAAGTCTGAAAATTCAAAATATTTTGCTGAATTTTTATTTATAATTATTTATCTAAATAATTTATAATATAATATATTATTTTAAAAAATGTGATTAATTTTCTTATATTTGATTACTATTCCTTATACTTATTACTCAAAATATATTATAATACATATTATAAAAATGTTTTTAAATTGCATAAGTTATTGTTTCAGGAACAGTAATTTACTTTATTATTATTTTTAGATTATTTTTATTGTAGAATAGGTAATTGATATTTTTATTGATTATTTTTTTTAAATTGTTTATAATATTTGTAAGCTGTAGGCAAGTATAAGGAATAGTAATGAAATATAATATAATATTAATATAGTATAAGAAAATTAATTGCTTTTTCCCACATTTTTTAAATAAATATTAATTGTATAATTATATAACTATAAATGAAAATGTAATAGAATATTTTGTATTATTGGACTTTTTGTCTGGCAGTAAAAATATGGGTGAAATTTTTGTCCAACTTTTTTTAAAGCTGACGTTTTTCCAGGATTCTAATGATTTGTATTATTTACTTAAAACTACTAAATGTACTTAAAAAATAAATATGTAATATTTTATTGCATTAAGTAAACTATGATATCAGTATGCATGTATACATTTTTACTGTTTTAGTGGAAAATAAGAGAAAGATTGATGATAGTGTAGAAAATCCAACAGCTAAAACAAAGAGATTAGAGACAAAATTGAAATGTTCAGACTTAGTTGTCTTAAATATACCATATACTTATGATGAACAAAAATTAAAAGAATACTTTGGTCAATTTGGAGAACTACTTATGTTACAGGTAATAATTAAATGTTCTAAAAAATGCATGCATGAACATGAATCATATTGTGCATAACTAGTTAAAGGGGTAGAGAGAAATATTTTATTTTGAAATTATAAAACCATACAATTATTGAATAGAGAGAAGAAAAGAAATTTGTTTATGGCGTTTATAGATATTGTTAAGACTTATGATAGAGTAATAGGGAAAGGGAATAGGATAAGTTGAATTAAAACAGGAATATTTGTGAATGATTTTGGAGGAAGTATTTGAGAAGTTTATGGGGCAATGATGATAGGAGATAATTTAGTGTGTGTGAGATGAATAGGTTTAAGTACTTAAGATCTGTAGAATAAAAAGAAAATGGTTTAGAAGATGATGTCAGAAGTAGAATTATTTGTGGTCATCTGTAATTTTCAAATGTTATACTTTAACGATAGCTGGCTCATAGTTGATCATGTTTACATGACCGCTGTTGACCTTAAATGATTATGGTTTTGTATTATTAACCTTTCCATGGAGCTACAATAATGCACTAAAAAGAGCGCAGTGACATTGTGCAATTAATCATTACAATAAACATATTTTTTATATTTTTTTCAAATTCAATAGTATGTACAAATTTGGAATGACATGGAAAAATATATTTGGTGTGTAGATACTACATATTATGTGTGTATGGTAGTGAATGTGTTAAGAGTAGTACAGGAGGGCGTCAATTGTAAAAAAAAATGAAAAAGAATTGGTTGAAGTGGTGTGTTTGATGAGGAGAGGTGACTATGAGAGTAGGTATTAATGTTAAAGGAAATAGAGATGAAGTGACTGAAGGTGAAATGTATGAATATTGAATAGAGTAGAAAATAACATGACATTACTGGTGTGAGTAAAGAAGAGAGATAGTGCCCTAAGGAGGTGTAGGACAAGAGTGACCCACTCTATATAGTTGAAAGTGATGGGCAAAGGGAAGGAAGAAGATACAATTATTGAAAAGTGTTTAATGCATATACCATTATAGCAGCTAATAACATTTATCTATTATTACTATTAATAGATAAAAAGAGATAAAAATGGACAATCTCGAGGATATGGATTTTTAAGATATACTAACTTAGAATCACAAGTAAGAGTTCTTTCTCAGCGTCACAAGATTGATGGTCGTAATTGTGAAGTTAAGGTTCCAAAGTCTAAGGTACTATACTTTTAGTAGATTATACAAACGTTGAATATTTATGTAAGTATTTGTATCATTTAGGAAGGTAATGGTTCAGAGCTTTCTGGAAAAGTATTTGTAGGCCGTGTGACAGAAGATTTAACAGCTGATGACATTCGTGAGTATTTCAGCAAATTTGGGGAAGTCATCAATGTGTTTGTACCCAAAAATCCATTCCGTGGATTTGCATTTGTAACTTTCCTTGATCCTGAGGTAGCTGCTAGTTTATGTGGTGAAGATCATATTGTTAAAGACGTTTCGGTGCGTGTTTCCGAAGCCGCCCCAAAACCACAAGCTCCCAAAAATCGTCATCAAACTCCTCCGCCTAGTGAACCCTGGGAGCGTTCTAATAATCGCCATAATGACAATTATCGTAATTGGTATCATTCACAACATGATAATCGGGGGAGTGTAGACATGCCTAATCTACAATCATTGGGTATTAACGGTCAAGACAGCTATAATCCAATGTTGCCTTTGAGCCCGGCTATTGTTGCTGCTGCATTGACTCAAGCTGCTGGATGGAGTCTAGCTAACGGTCGTATGATGCCACCTCCACCGCCTCCTAGTGGAAACAATCAATGGTCTCAACATGGTCCCAACTCTCAACGAAATAACTATAATAACAGGAAACGTTCTAATAATGATTACAATTCATCAGGCAATCGCTAAAAAAGATAATGGTAATATAATACAAAGTTAAATGAATAATATCAATAACAATTTAGTGTACTAAAACCATAACAGTTCTTCTAACTTTTTGGATATGTACACAGTACATACATGATTATTACAAAAAAGAAAAAAAATGGCTTTTGTTTTGTAGTTAAAATTTTGTTCCAGTTGATATGTTACTTTGATATAAAATGTTGCATAGCAAAAAAAACCTTATTTACTGGACAAATTAACTTGTTAATCAAAATTTAAAAAAGTAGATATACATTATATGCGTTATGCATATGAATAGGTATATACAAACCATTTTTTATGCATCAAAGTATGTATTTAATATATATACATACTTGTGTATTCTTTGTATATAAATCTATTGTTACTACTGTATAATTGTTAATTTAAGGATTATCTTAATATTAATAGAACACATTTAAATTATTATCCTTTGGTGGTACGAATGAACTTACAAATGGTATGAACGTAATTTGTATGACATTATTTGATTGGAAATTATACTATCTCATTAAAAACATGTAAAAATTGTGTTTTACTTTGTGGCCTGAATACATATTATTACAATAGTATGTATTGAAGAAAAAAAATAGTTATAATTTCAAACATAGTATTATTATGTGTCTGTATGTCTACCGTATACACTTAAGACTGGATTCTTTTTGTTACGTAATGAAATTATGGATGGTATTATGGCTTTCAATATCCACAATACAGTTAATTTTTTTTACCTTACATAATTATTAATTGTACTACAAGCTAATTTTTTTTTAATAATCAACGTATCATGTACTTCTAGGTTTTCTGATAGTTAAAAAAATATTTGTTATTTTCTTATATCTAAATTTGCTATTAGTTTTTCAATAAAATTATGTTGTATAATATTATAGTATACAGTCATTAAATATTTTAACCAAACCTATTTGAAAATAAAATCAAGTTAGAAAATACAATGTCATACATGTATAATATATTATATTTATTTATTTATTTACTTACTTGTCTTTCCCAATAGTTGACTGTATCGATGTTTTCTATGATAAGATGCGTGTATAAAATATAATCAACTTCCAAAATATTAATTTTGGTTGGTTATTTGGTCAATTAGTTATATTTCTAATGTTTGACTTATGTTCACATTAAAAAAATTGAAACAAAATTATAAATATGATGGTTTTACCATTCATTAGAATAATATTACATTATAACAGTTATTCTAATAAAATCCAATACACAATTGAAAATCAATAATATACATTTTGAGTCAAATTATTGTATTTCATTTATGTTTTTAATATATCTCAATTACAGTGGTAATTGTTAGTTAATGTTGCTAAGTAATATTAATAATTGTTAATAAAAAAAAAATATGTTTATTGGGTATGAAATATGTTATTAAGCATGATTGCCATAATCCTCCTTGTATATATAATTATTTCTAGTCTGTCTGAATGAACGATTTATTTGAGATTTTTATCATTATTGGTATAGACTATTTTGTCTGCTGGCAATGAATAAGTTGTTTCATTTTAATCTTTATTAAATGAATACAAAATCATCTGCCTGTATGGATTGCTCGGTTTAAACTTTAAACATTGAGTTAAATATGTCTTTTACAATGTCAAAATGGAGTAATGTGATAATTATTTGTTGCTGAAAATATAAAATTGAAATGAAATTCGGTCTATAATATTGTCGAATAGCTGTCAATCTGTGTCCATGAATGTCTTCAGCAAACGGAACATCTTCAATGTTTTGTAAGTATGTATGTTTTCATGTGTGTTAACTCAGAGTCTCGATTATGTATAATTTTTGTTTTGTTTATTTTACTGGCATGTATGTTTTATTTTTATCCTGTTTATAAAGTTGAGCATTGAAATATATTGGACATATGGATCAGCTTATGTGTAAATTAATTATGATTTGTTCTGTTTGGTTTACAAATAGGTATTTTTTTATTTATCCAATGCCAAACCATTTCTTATACAAGTACTATTGTTATTTAAAATTGTATAAATCATGATTTGTTTACTAGTTAGTATATAATTAATGTTATTAATTAATTTCAGCATCACGTGAAAAATTAACCAAATTTGTCAGCCAAATTTTACCGAACAAAATATGCTTTTTCAATAAAAACTGAAAAATATTTGAAGAAGTAGAATGTGACAAGTAAATTCATTTATTTTATGTAGTTTTACATTTTAAGACAGATTTACTGTTATCAATCTGTTAGTTAAAGTTTAAATTAGTACTCAAGGTTTTTATTTATTTTAGGAAATGCCCTTAAATTGAAAGAATGATCATTGTTACCAAAAATGCATGCTAATAACATTTTCGGAAAGGTTAGTATTTTTTTTATTGGTTTAAAGATTTTGAATTCTATAATGATTTAAGAATACCCATGTATATATTTATGATAGATATCTACAATATTTTAAACGATACTAATTTTTATATATACATACACTATAGTACTATACTAACTGAAATCGAAGTAGACTCCCAATGATAAATAAATGTCATTCTTAAAGTGCATCATCTTTTCACTAGTGAGAAAAATAACACAAAGCTTACAAAAAATTATGGAACTATTACATAAGTGATTGATTAATAAGATTTAAAGTTTTAGTTAAAACACCTTTAGTTTTAAGCCTTAACCATGAGTATTAGAAATCGTCTATCCAACTAGTATATGTGAATCTTAGATTAGAGAAGATCAATCCTGAATTTAGATTGACAGTGTCTTAAAATGTAATACTTTTCATTAAAAATTAAAAAGTATAAAATGAAATAAAATCTTAAAATTACAGCTATGGGCCTTTTTCATAAATATATTCTTCGTTTGGCATGCCTCTACTTAATCCAGGTCTGAAAAAGATTCTACATAATCTTCCAATAATGCTCAAATAAGAAAAGGAAGTAAATAATATCTTAAACTTTTTTTCCAGGATGTAGGTATTATTCAAAGAGCAACAACAAAAATTGCCCTTAGCGAGGGATGGGTTCAAAGCACTAGCAGGCTGATGTACTTGTATGGATTATGAATAAGACCGAGTAATTGTATGATACAGAAACGGTACATTTCTGGATTGAAAAAAAGTTTTGGAAAGGCAACAAATAAATTGACTGCACAAGTTACTTTTTTGTTTCTGTTTTGTGAGAAACTTTAAAAATACATATATGTTGAATAAATAAATTATTATTATAAATCATTTTTGACTTTTATTATTTGAATATTTTCTATTGTTCCTCCTTGCAGACGATTCTACTGAAAAACTTTGTATTACTGCATCATGTTTGGAATAAACAAATTAGGGAACTGTTAAAATAAATAATTTATTAACAATACATAAATAATTGTAATTCAATGACTCAAGATGTAAATATATATTCAACAATTTTACATGTATAACAAACATGTTTTACAATTTTAAAATCATAGTTATTCAAATATTTACAAATCTTTATGATTTTGATAACAAAATATACGTAGGTAATAGCGTTTATCATTTTACTATCTACCATCATTTCCATCCATAAGAAACTGGCTAATCGGTGTGAGAAATGTATAATCGTAGGCATATAAACAAGTTTTTCAACACAGATTGTATGTAGAATTTAGGTAGTACATTGTGAATAATATAAAATGTATAATAAATTGTAAACCTACCTTCTACCTAGATCCAAGTTGTGACCTCTAGTCCATTTTGTAGGTGTTATAGTATATTATGTGGCAAGAGCGGGAAATGAGCTATTTTAAAAAACTACTTGTCTACTTATGCTAATTATGGGGAGGATTTCACTGAAGGTAGTTCAGTTATTATTCTCATTTGGAAATTATTTTATAAAGGCAAACACTTCCCAGCGGATACCTCTAACTGTAATATTGCACAGCTGTTGATTTTCCAGAAACTGTGTACTAATTGACACCTTTTACCTAATTTGTACATGGATAAACTAAACATTTTAATGGCTTATTGCAGGGTCTATTTGAATGAAACTGAATAATGATTTATTTAAAAATTATAAATACATTCTTAATCCCTTATATTCCATTGATGTTTCTTAAGGCCATGGCCATAAAATTCTCTCTGTTGGCAAATATCGGTCTACTCATAAATTATTAAAATTTAATTCATCTTTAAAATAATTGTTCAAAAATAATTTCATATGATGGACAAAAAATGCCAATGGTAGATATATGTCGTCATGAGAATAATTTTAATAATCTTTATAATGATGTTCATATGACTTTCAATTAAGAATTTTGATGGAATAAAAAGATATTCTCTTTGGAAATTGTTGAGATAGTACAGTTAAGGGTTACATGACCAATTATGCTCAGCAGATCACGTTTTACATGGGATTCCACGATAATTCAGTTACGGGCATTTATTACTTGTACTGTATTATATAGGCACTCAAACCCAGCTAAAATAATTGAACTATCGTATAAAACCAACTTCAAACACGAATAATGCTTTTACCAGTAAATTGTATGATAGGTCAAAAGACTAAAATTTAAACTAGGTACTCGAAAATCAGATCATTTTTAGTTTTCACTACCCCAAATGTTGATGACAGAGAAAAAAAAACATAGTTGTAATTACAATACATTCATCATATGGGACAATATTTCACAAATCAAAAACTAATACATTCATTGATCAAAAAAACAACCAATATTATGTAGATTTTAACAATATGAGTGTGTGAGATATTACCGTAAGTCTTCTGGAAGCACTTTCGTAATATACCCGTTGCACGTTCCACATATTAGTGTTTCTTGTTCTAGTTATTCTCAAAATAAAATTTATTTAAATTGTTTTAAAATCATGTATTAGAAACAATTACATACAAATTATTGAACTAATATTTTTATTATTGTTATTAAATGGTACGAAAATAATTTTCTTTGTATGAATGAATGATGAGTACCTAGTGTGTACAAAATCAAAACTATATTCTGACGACGAAAATGTATAATCGGTAGAACTTATTATAAACATAACAGCAAAATATCAGTTATCTATCTCCTGGACGCGAATACAACGTGTACGAATTTTGTAGCCGGTCCAATACTCATATCCTGCATATACATTTTCTCGATTTTTATATTTTTTTAAAATTTTTAATTTTAAGAATACGATACGGGTCTTAGTGTGTATTTTTTTTAATAATTTTATCTTTTAAATTATTGTTATTTTAATACCTAAATGCGACTAAAAAGATACTCAGTGGTAAAGATGTAATTCAATTTTAAATCCATCTAGGTATAGTTAGGTTAGGTTAACCTAACCTATGAGGGAGAGGCTTAACAAAATTCCGCGTTAATCCCCACTCCCATTCTATGCGACTATTCTTTTGACTTTACGTACTACCTTTGATTGTATTCTTCAAATGGTGAAATTCTATATAGGTATGTCAATTGCGGCGTTTTCCATTACCGCACAAACATGACCCAATATACCGCACACAAAAATAGTACGATACCGCACAGATTTATAAAAAGGCATAGTCTAATTCCGCACACAACAAATAGTACGATACCGCATACATTTATTAAATATAAAAATTTAAAAAAACATTACATAGAATTAAATAATTAAAAATAGAATCTAATATAGTCATAATATATAGCAATAGTATAGTAATAGTAATCAAAATGAATATTGTAGGCATCTATATTGATTTAAAATTTAAATTTGTTTTTTTTTTTATATATTCCATTATAGTCAGTTTGTTTCTTAAGAAAAGTGAGGTACTGAAATACCAAATTGGCTTCTCGTTCTCGATTACATTTCCGCTGTATTGCTTCAGTCCCCTTCTTAGCTTAATAATGTCGTTATAGATTATTGTCGATAAGCGACGATAATTGTCCAAAATATACGTGGCGGTAATGGGATATCCAGTATTTTAAAATATGTGTGCGGTTTTGTCTCAAGTGTATTTTGCGCGTTTGTGAGGTACTAGGTAATAGGTATAGGTACTGTATCTGCAGCATATATCCTTAACCACACCTATATAAGCATTGATTATAAATAAGTACTAACATACTATAAACAAAAAAATTGTATAATTTATAATTATAATCAATGCCATGATAGATTTCGTCATGATCAATGCTATAAGCTATGTACCTACATAACCCAAAGAATTTTGAGTTTTTGGGTTATTTTAAGATTGGTTTTTAAGGTTTTTATATGCATAAAAAGTGACTTTCAGTTTAACGATATTACTATCGTTTGAAAAAAAAACAAATTGTTGTTTTTAATATAATTAATGCTATTATCGCTTACATTTCGAGCGCCAAGTAAAATAAGTTTGAAAGGTATAAGACCTTAGTGGTTTCGTCGGAAATCTTCATGGTTTTCAAAATATCATGCCAAAAAAAATTTAAAACGATTCATGGACACCGAGCTCGGCGAGCTCGCTGTTCATTTGTACTGCGGAAAAAATTCACTTTAACTTGTCAGGAGCTTTGAAGTATACATGACCAAATGCCGTGTGCACTCTGGAATTATTTCCATCGCTTACCGAATTTTCTTGGCTTTCCGAATATGTTGGTTAACTGCTCCGTCAACTTCTGAAAAAATGCGAAATGTTTAAAACAATTAAAAACGACTCCTGGTAAGTGTTAATGTGTTATATATATATATATTGAAGAGCATACAAATTTCTCATCTCTGTAGAAAATAGTAGTATAGTTGCACTTTAGCTACCACGAGGTGTTTTTTAGTACCTACCTAATTTCTGTTGATACATACTGAAACTGAACATACTATCTATGTATTTCAACGAGTCAAGAACGATGGTGGAAAAATAGTTGTACGAAAAACAGTTAATATTATAGAATATAGACAGCTGTAGATGACCTGATGATTTAAAATTTAAGAGGACGTTACACTCGTATGCGTTGTCTCTGTCTTACAAACGTACAACATAGCCAAAACTGTAATGCGCGGGATAGAACCACTAAGTCTGTAGTTCTAGTAGAGACACTGAAAACTTACACAATATAAAAGGTGATATTTTCTGTGTCGTAGAATTTTTATTTGTTTGATGTCATTATTCATTATTAAGAAAAACTTATAATACTTTTAAAAATCTGATATTTTTAAGTTTTCCAGACTTAAATAACTTTAGATATATTGGTCTTATCGAAAAAATAAAATAACTACGACATAGCTTACATTCTCCTCTGTTCAAAATGAAAATTTGGTTACTTAGTTATAGCTGTAACTTTTTTGGTTCTTTTCCCCGTGAAACAGTTTTTGCTATGTTTTACATTTGTGAGACAGAAACAATGCATGTGGGTGTAGTGTAGTGTCCTCTTAAATCGTGGAAGTGACTAAAAACAGCTGTCGCACGGTATTAGTGTCGCATTGTATTGGTCACACTGTCTTCCATTAACAGTGGATAATAATAATATGGGTCTTTAGTCTCTTCATAGATAAACAACTACCATCATCATCAGAAGGTTCTTCGTTATTTTCTGAATCGACTAATAAGTTAAATTATTTTCCCAATTTTTCTCACCAAACTTGCCGAATCTAGATTTTCCTCCGGATCATCAGAAATTGTGGAATGACAAAAACAGCGAATATGAAAGAAATTCTGCCAGCGTTTCCGGAAGAAAATATTGGTAAGCGAATGTCCGTAATAAAAGGGCGTGTACCTCCGGACAATTCATCACGAAGACCCGTTTAAACAATTTATCGGGAATTGTGTATTTTCGCAGATATGTTTGCCGCCACCAGCGTTTTGCAGCAACAGGCGGCCGAAATAAGGAATCTGAACCCTAATTGGTCTTCTTATTTACAGTAAAGCTTTTTTACCCAATATCACCCAATCTGTGTGTTTCCCTAATATCCTAAGCTTAACTCTGTCTCAGGTCTCAAATGATATCGCAAGACGTGTTTGATTTCATCAGTGCCTATGACGTGACAGATGCCAAAGGTCAATTTTTAAATGACAATCGTCCACAGTCCGCAAAGGCCTTCTTCAGTCTATTGGAACATATCTCTAAGGAATCGACTATACAATATGTACTCGTTTTGATTGATGATCTATTGACCGTAAGTTGTTTCTTTCCTCTTATGTGCCTTTGACCCAAGTCATTGGTCAAAAGAAATTTATGGTCCTCAAATAATACATTTTTTTTTCAAAATTTTATCTCACAGGAAGACCGATCACGTGTAGAAATATTTCATGAATATGCTCTTAAGAAAAATGAACCAGTGTGCGGAAATTTTTTGAACCTGTTGAATGCTGCCGATGGGTTTATAAATAACATGTCTGCTCGAATTATAGCAAAGTTTGCATGTTATTCAACTGATCTAATCAATCAAACTGATCTTCAGTTTTACTTGAATTGGATTAAAGAGCAACTGCTATCTGCTGTAAGTCAACACTTAAAAATAATTAATCTAGTTTGTGTATGTGTGCTATTATTTTTTGTCCAGCAAGGTTAGGATGTTGTTTAAGATATTTGCAAATTCAAATACCTATATTTACTATATAATCATTTGTTTAGGTAGGAGAAACTAAGTTAGAATATTTTAGATGTATAGGTTGCCAAGTAGAAATATTGAATCATATTTCTATTTACATATTTATGTATAGGACAAACATCTCACCCGTGATGAAACTAGACTTATACCTAAAATATTTATAAACAATTTATTTTTATTCTATGTATTTCATCATAATTAATAATTTGTCTTATAAACATTATGAACATGGTATTTTAATTTTAATATAATATTGATTTATGATTTCAGAACAATGAATACATGCAATCAGTTGCTCGCTGCTTGCAAATGTTACTTCGTCGCGATGAATACAGAACTGCATTCATTTCTGTTGATGGTATATCTACTCTTTTGAGTATATTATCAGGACGTGTTAACTTCCAAATTCAATACCAATTGATATTTTGTGTGTGGGTTATGACATTCAATCCACGTTTGGCTGAACGAATGAATAAGTTAGATTTCAATAAAAAAAACTTAAACAAATAATTATTAACTCATCTATGTTTTTTTTTTACAGATTTAATGTTATTCCTATTTTGGCAGATATTCTTAGTGATTCTGTTAAAGAAAAAGTTACACGAATTATTCTTGCTGTATTCCGGGTAAATTTCTTATTCATTAATTTCATTTAAAAATTTTCTTCTAATTAATTGAATTTTAGAATTTAATTGAGAAACCAGAGGATAACACTACTTCCAAAGAACACTGCATTGCAATGGTACAGAGCAAAGTTTTAAAACAACTTAGTATTTTTGAGCAAAGGAAATTTGATGATGAAGATATTGTTGAGGATATACAATTTTTAAACGAACGTCTACAAGCATCTGTTCAAGATCTTAGGTATCTTCAGAAGAATCTTAATTTTATATAATATAATGCAATTCACTAATTTTGTCTTAAACATTACTATTTTACAGTTCCTTTGATGAGTATGCTACAGAAGTGAAATCTGGTCGATTGGAATGGAGCCCTGTGCATAGATCAGCACAATTCTGGCGAGAAAACGCATCTCGCCTTAATGAGAGAAATTATGAACTTTTGCGTATCTTAGTGCATTTGTTGGAAACAAGCAGAGACCCACTTGTTTTAAGTGTTGCTAGTTTTGATGTTGGTGAATATGTAAGACATTATCCACGTGGAAAACAGTGAGTATAACATCATAAATGTATTATTTTATATTTAACTTACATTATAACAAATTAATTTATTTAAAATCACCAAATGTCATTTAATATTTTACAGTATAATTGAACAGCTAGGAGGAAAACAACTTGTTATGCAACTGTTATCACACGACGATGCAAATGTACGTTACGAAGCACTCTTAGCAGTACAAAAACTTATGGTGCACAATTGGTAAGATTTTAAATTATAAACTGTTGATTAATATTTGGTTTTTCCTCATTGATTACATGACGACATCTTATAAGTTGTAATAGAATTAATTTCACGTATCTATGGCCGTATTTAATAACTCTTGTAAACTATACGTATGCTTGGGTCCTTGCAAAAAAAAATACTATAATTCTACATTAACAAATAGACTGCTATAGGACTGGTGCCATCCACATAGTATCAGGGTATAAGTGTATTTTTTTGTTTGCTGGTGGTCGCACCTTATATCTATACGCCATACGACCTTGGGCTGTATGTCATAAACACATTTATTTGTCAATAATAAGTTTTTCGTGGTGTTGGACTAATAATGAAAAAAAAATTAATTTATTCAAAATCCATGCCATTGAAAATAGAGTGTGGTCCTGTAAGAAAAACAACCGTGAAACCTCAAGCATGGTATTCAACAAGTTTAGATAACTTATTTTCTCTTTCTGACCCATGAGTATTATAGCAAATTTGCTACCGGTAGAACCTAGCTTATATTGTTATTTAGTTATAGTATTAGAGTGAATTAACCTTTTAAAACTTGAAAACATTTACTATATTTTACTTAAGCTTTTTTATGATATTTCAATTTGTATATCATATTTCAAATATAACTGATGTGATGCTGAAAAAATTGAAGTTTTAAAAAAAAATTCTTAATGATTGATAAATTAAAATAATAATGTACGACTTGTATGTTTTTATGAAATAATGTGTCTAAGAGTTGATTATAAAAAATGAAAAGATTAATCATAATGCCAATGGGCGTCATTCAGTATATGTAAACAATGTTAAAGTAAGATATAGTAATTTTTAAATTGTAACATTTTACTATACTCATAACTGTTCGTTTATAAATAATGTTCTTAACATTAATATTAGGTAAATTTACTTTTAGTTTTGAGGTTTACAACATAACTTTATTTTCGCTGAAAGCAAATTTGCTATGTGGCGCATTGGTGAAAGAGAGAAAATAAATAGTGCCCTGACATCCTCTTAACATTGATCTTAGCTAGAATAAAATTACTTTCCAACAAACAAAACATCATGATATACCGTGTTTTATGTATTGTTATAAAATTGAATTATCAATATCCAACTTAGACTGTGTTCTTTAATCGTGGACTAGTTTAGTTTTTAGATTTAATAAAAAAATTAAATGTTTATAAATTTATACATTGCATATTACACATTACATATATTATTATCTTTAATGATATAGTTATAGACAATATTTCTTGTACATAGTTTTTCTTGTGTACTAAATTATTATGGAAATTAAAATTTTTTATTTAAACATAATTTATACTAATATTTATCTGAGTATCAAGATTCACTTTAGGTTTTCTTGAACATGTGACCTGTCAGACTGCATGTCTTACCATAATACCATATTGGGTATTCATTTAGTAATTCAGGTCAAATTAACTAAAGTTCATAAAGTCTAATACGAAAAACCAATTATCGACATTTCTAAAAATTGTTCATTTAGCAATACCTAGTAACCAGTATAATGAGAAAATAGATATGTTTGTACTAATAATTAGGTACCTTTAAGTATTTATATTTGTATTATTTTCAACCTTTTTTTTTTTTTCCTTCGGTGTGAGGTAACCGCTAACTGGTAAACTATTATTAAACTTCTATTCCTAGAATAAGAAAACTAATCACCAGTTTTTAAAAAAATTACCTCTAATTTTAGAAACAGTTTTAAGCTCTGCTTTTAAATTGATGATTGTTATATTTTTATTGATTTGTATTTTTTAAATTTATTTTAGGGAGTATCTTGGTCGTCAGTTGGAGAAAGAACAGGGTACCAGTACAGACAGAACCACTGCTCTTACAGGAAAAGCTTAAAGTAATTTATACGTAAAATACACTAAAAAAAAAATACAAATTTATAATGTACAGATGTTAAAGTTTTCATTTTGTAGATTCCTCATAAATACAACACTAGGTTGAAAAGATTAATGTATGATAACTTCTCATTGAAGTTAATATATATTTCTTCTTTTAATTTTATTATCTATGTATTATCATTGTTTCAATGCGGTATTTCGTGATTTATTGTTTTTTTTTTTCATATTTTAACTATACCATTAAACTATTGTAGTTATTAATAATAGATATATACCTAAGCAATGTTATGTATTTGATCATTCCAATATAATTCAAAAGTGAATTTATTAAATAATATTTTTGTTCATTCCATTTTAGTTTTAAATTTTATCATTTATATTATACGATGTGTGTATTGTGTATACAGTATATATTTATTTAAATATGATCAATGTAGATTATTGATAAATATATAATTCATCAATATAATATAAATATTAACATTACTACAATAAATTGTGATAATACTGATGTAAGTGTATTAAAAAGTGTTATAGTACATAATAATATGATTATAGCTGTAATCACCAGTTTAATCAATGATAGTTATTGGCTGTGAAGGTCATCGAAATTATTTTTAATAATTCTTGTTAAACGTTAATATTATAATATATTTGCAATGTTCAACAATTAAATATTATAAATAGTTAATGGCTATTTTAAAATACTTAGTATACAGTTGGTAGTAATTGAATATCCCTATTGAACGCCCTTTACTGTTTATGTGAGCTTCAGAATGAAATCTGACCTCACCTGAGCTTTTTTTATTAGATTGCTTACATTTCTTAATTTTCTTAGAAGTCTTTCCCTAGAACTAATGAGTAATTATAATAATGGCACCACCAATTAAAAATTATTCATTAAATATTCAATAATAAATTACTAAAACGTAAAAATAAATAATATAATATATTGATTTTCTGACCGCGTATGCACACACATTTATATATATATATGTCTATTTTGATATGTTAAAAACATTTTTTTTTCAACCCTTTTGTGACAGTTACATTCATTAGATTCCCAATGATAATTTATCCCGACTAGTACAATGGTAGTGCTAGAATTTTGATTTGGGTAGGGTGGTTGGTTGTAGAAGGACAGCAATTATTAAGTTGGGACTTGCAAAAATGGGATTTTAGCCCCGCGCTTAAATAAAAATAATTAATTTGAGCTAATTAGGTACCATATAATTAAAGGTTTTTTTGAATCGATGAAGAAATCGGTAATATCATTTTTTTTACTTATTTTTTTTTAAATCATATAGTTTATTATTGTTAATTAGTAATTTCATAATATTTTTATCTACCTACGGTGAACTATTACAATTTCGTTTTATAGCTAATGAAGTGACCAAATATGAAAATATTTGAGGTTAGGGCTAGGAATTTGTCTGTAGTCTAATAATAATAACCATAATCTAGACAATTGTTCGATGCACATATTATTATATTATTATATACCTACATTGACGACTGTAGCAAATTTACAATAAATCATTGTTTAGTATAATATGATATATAATAGATATAAATTGTAAGATTGTATAGCTTATAATGTTAATAGCTTCCAAACACAGTGGGATGGTCAACAATCGATCGTACGAGTTCATTTTAATTACATTGCCCGGTTAATTGTAACGAAATTGGTCGATATTGTTATGTGCATTGTGTGTCTACGAGATAATCATTTTATACACGGAGTTATGCTGTAATTTGTCATCAATATGTGTCATCGATCATTTTAGGTCCGTCAGCCCACACGAAACAATCGCAGTTAATACTTTACAAATCAGTTGTGTTGTATTCTCGACTCCCGAACGTTGTCAATCAATAGCTGGTAGGTGTGTGTTAATAAGTAGTTCTTAAAATCTTCGTCCTACAAATCTGCAAAAAAAAAAAAAAAAATGTGTGACAACGGTTCCGTGACAAAAATGAACGTAAGAGATCCGAATTTTGGGACCAAACTCGTGCACGCCGGACACAACCCCGGAGAGTGGACTTACAACGATGTCGTGCCACCGATTGCGATGAGTACGATATTCAATTCGAGATCGCCGGGAGTAATCGAAGTAAAATATTGTGTTACTTGACTATAAAATATAATTTATTATGACGTGAAAACGTATTGTGTGGGATCTTATAGGTAGGTGTATGTTATGTACGGCATATTATGGTTTATATCTTATGTGTTGTGTACCTATATGGATTAACAATGTTTTTGTGAAAACAAATCTGTGGTGATGATCTAGATACGGTTATGTATATTATTACTACATGTCTACTAATTGTAAAATAGATCAAATCGTATAAAGATCCAGATGTTTTTTTTCAATAAAAATATTTGCCTACCTACTTATTTAAATGTCCAGGTTTTATTTTTGGACGTTTTCGATAAGGCGAGAATTTCCCGAATAAATTATGTACATTTATTTTATACCTATTAGCTATTAGTTATCTACCTATTTAGATATTTATTGTTATATAGAGCCATAGAGGCAGTGATCTTCACTAAACTTTTTTAAATTAATTATATACTTCTTAGAATATTTTATTGAGTAGGTATTTTTCCTTTGAATGAATAATAATTATTCACAATATTATTTAAGAAAATCGTCAATTATTGTGTACATGGATGATGGATGGATGAAGTGAACAACACCATTCCCGTTTCATAACTGCATTTCGGGTAAATCTGAATTGTCTACAGGTGGTTTACTACAATATTATACTTACAGATAAACCAAAAAACAGACATAATATCATTGATTGTATAATACATTTATCAAAACGAATGTTAACTGGCGTATTAGGCATGGATTAAGAAATAAAAAAATGTAGATGCATAATAATATAGTATGGATGCATTGAATTTAGAAACAGTTAATCGTCTGGTTTTGAAAAAGTCGGTTCTGGTAGTTTATGATTAGGTATAGAAAATAATATTCACTGTGTAATTACTGTATATATTTGCATGTCTATAGACGAAGATTGTGTCAGACTATAAGTTTTTCCTCATATGAAAAAAATAAAAAGGCACTGAAAGTTACATTAGTTTTTATATGCATTTAAAGTTAAAATTCATAAAAATCAAGGAACATTTGTAAATTATTTTGTAGTTGAAAATTTATAAAATGTTCAATCTTTATATCTAAGGATTGAAAATTAAAAACAATGTTTCTCATAAGCATTTTTTATATTATAACCAAATAGTCCAAAACATATTAACACATTTTTTTTATAGATATTTAAACTTCAATTTTGGGCTAAATTAGATATTTAATCGACCCAAAATTATTAACGCTGTCATAGTTATTTTTTTGCAATTAAAAAAAAATATGTTCCTGGGGACATTCAAGTTACAATTTTTACGCATATTATATATTTTACTTCGTTTGTACTTAGTAGACACAGTCAAATTATTATTGATATCATTGATTGTGATTTTGAGTTGTTTTTCACATTTGAAAATATCAAACAATATTTTTATCAATTATTATGAAATAGAATTAATTTTTAAATGCTATATTATTATTTAAGTGATATGATTAGAATTTCAAAAAACTTACATTTTTTAGTAGCACCAACATTTTACAATAAAAATATATAGGTACCTATAATATTTTGATCATGCCACGGCTCAGACGTTCGATATACCTAGGTAATTTACTTGTACCTATTATAGTTATTAACAGTATAATCACTAGTCATACGACCAAATAGTATTATATTATATTAAAATTTAACAATTAATATTTATTTAATAAATGTTCAAATGACAACTGTTCACAACTGTAATAGTTCTATAATTCCAATTAAGCCATAAATAAATGTAATTTGCTGTGAAATACTCGACGACGTGCTCATATTATGTATGATTTTCTTTTACGACTTGGGAGTTATTTTTGAAGTCCGGAATCCACGCCTATATGGCTTTATGTGTGTTATTATTTTTCTCGGAAATTCAAATTGTTTTGAGTACAATTTAAAGTTTTAATTTCAAAGGTTCAACATTTTTAATACCTACCTAGGGTGGGACAATTTTTCTCACAAAATATGTGGAAAACAGTTGTACGCTGAAATTTCATTTATATATAATTACGTCTTATTCTTTTAATACGTGCATATTACAACAATTTATAGGGGTACGAGTACACGCGATGCGGCAATCCGATCCGTTCGGTCTTGGAGAAATGTCTGATAGCACTGGACCAAGCCAAGTACGCGCTGGCCTACAGTTCCGGGATGGCGGCTATCTCGTCCATGGTAAATCTGTTGGCTCCCGGTGACCACATATTGTGCAGCTCCGACGTATACGGCGGTACTCACAGGCTGCTGAACAAGATGGCCAAGCATGCGGGAATCTTGTTTGACTTTATTGACTTTTCCGACACGGCGAACATCATCAAAAGTATAAAACCCAACACTAAGGTGAGAGTGACAGTACATCGTACCCGCGCTGATCACCCGGAGCTGTGAATTTAATGCATTTAAAAACTGCACTTATAAGCTCTATAAAGACTATGAATCTCGAAAGATGCATTAAAATCTTAAAAAATTCAATATAAAATATACTTTAAGTATAGGTACATAATATTTATAAATTGAAAAATATTAAACTCCTTTCAAGTGTAAAAGTTACAAAAATAAGTTTTAATAATTACAGTTCAACCTTGATTTACTTACTTATACGTTATAAAATATCGCTAAAATAATGTGCTCTCGAGACTGCTAAAAACGAATTATACATATTTTTTTATTCTCCGAGACGATGATAAGTCTCATTAAACATGATATAATATAGCACAAAACAAACTTAAAATATAGGTACACAATATAATGCTCAAAATTATACAAAAGCTTTAGAACAGATATTCATAAATTGTTAAAATATTGTTTAAGATATTATAGAAATATTCAAACATTTGAAATAAAACTTTAAGGTCAAATGAGATACAACAACATATTTATAATTTACCAAGGGCTGTGAATTGAATGCACTGAAAAATCGTAAAACAGGCACACACAATAAAAATCCAATATATCTAAAATAGACTTTATAAAATAATACATTTAGTGTTTACAATTTTGTATACATGTCGTTAATTAAGGTTTTGTATATTAATATATTATTATATCATAATTATATACGTTTGTCTGTCGGATCGTGATTAATTGTGCATATAAGCATGAACTACGAAGTTGGACGAAACACCATAGTGTGTAAGCGTTATAATACCGATTATCAATAATTATCGCGGTTTCTTTTAAATATATTAATATTTTTATTTCATTTTATATTTCTTATTCGTTTTCTCAGTACTCAAAATAAGGCAATGATGGTTTATATATTTTTCAAAATTAGCGTTTATTCTCTTTCCTGATATTTTCCAATCTCACATTCATATAGACTACACTATAGTACCTATACGAATAACATTTTATTTAGGTAATCAAATGTACATTAGAAAGGAGGAAAAAAATCTATAAGTTATATAAACAAATTTTTAAACATTTTAAATTAAAATATTATATATGTATCAAATTTATCTTTGTAGATTATTGGTCTATAGAATAATGTACATTTTGATTTATTTGCAACTGCAGCTAATTCCTTACAATTTGGTATAATCCCATGGAATGAAAAAATAATAACTTATTTTATATATTAATAATGTTAATTAAACAATATACATTAACCATTTTTATAGATAATTATTTTACAAATATATATTATAAGTAGGTATTTAGACTGATTGACTTGTACTTGAATAATGAGTGAATGAAAATGTTGATTTGGACCTATACATTTTCAAGAAACACTTTCATGTAGGTATGATTTTATAAGACTACGGGTATCAAAAAATGTGAATTGTAACTGGTGTGTTTTCTGCAGCTCAAAAACATGCTAACGAATTATTTGTTGTTGCTTGTCTCCATTTCCTTCATACTTTTAGATATAATTTTATCTGTAGAATATATTTCATTTTATTTCAGCTCGTTTGGTTCGAGAGTTTGTCGAATCCTTTAATGATCGTGTTGGACGTACAAAAAGTGTCTGAAGCCGTTCATATGACTCGAGCAGATATTATAGTGGCCGTTGATAATTCATTCGTGACGCCCTATTTTCAAGTAATTATATTGGAATACTGGATTACGTAATCTTGTACGATGTACATAATTACTTTTGTGAATCATTTTTATCGTCTTGTTAGTCAACTTTAGAGTTTCGATCGTTTATATTACAAATGGATTTAGCTATGATTTGAATGATGAATATAAAAGACTAAATTCTAAGATAATAACAAGTAGATTATACAAAATCATCTAAGCTAATACAAATGGTCCGTAATGGCTAAAGCTTACATTTAACAAATAATAAACAACAATTTTTGGATGGTGGTCGATCGGTAGGTCTTCCTAGGGCAGCTCACACGGCAAGTTCAAAAGGTCCGCGGTTTGTAGTGGTCTTCCTAGAAGACACTCCATGCCAACCTTGCCTCAATTTATTCGCCTACATTATTTACACATAACGTGGTTGACCTATACCTATATTTCATATTTGTAAGACATTTAAGTATCTTCATATTATATTTTTAGAGAAATCATATAATCTAATCCATTAATTAGAATTTATGGGCAGGAATGTTTTACAATTTTAATCGTGCATGAATATTTTAGAACATTTTTTATCACTTATATACTATGCGTTGTTTAAAGAACATATAAATACAAGATTGTTGTATACTTGAATACCTATCAAGCAAATTGTTATAATGTTAAAATAATATCATACTTACTTTTAATTTTTAAACCAAAATAAATAATTTAAATTGTTTTTGTTTTTTAAATACATCATGTACAGAGACCGTTGGATCTTGGCGTAGATGTAATAATGTATTCGCTGAGTAAATATATGAATGGACATTCAGATATAGTTATGGGGGCACTGGTTACCAACAACAAGGACATATATGACAAATTATACGTTTTCCAATACAGTAAGTGACGTTATATTATAAATACTGTTTATATATCTTTTATATTAGTAGCTGCCTCCTCGTCGCTGCCCGGGGAAGATATTTGTGAGAAAATATAAATCAAATACAAGAAGCTACCTTTTGCCTACATATTATAAGAGTTGAAAAAATAAGAAATAAACATCATCCTCCCAGTCTCATGGAATCTATTGATATAACTTTTATTTAAAACAATTAAAATAATTTCGAGTGTGACGAAAATGTGAAAAATAAAAACATTCATAAAAAAAAAAATCAAACAAATAATAATAACTTAAAAAATGAACACATATTCAGTCATGCAGACCGGGTTGGGTCTCAAGTACTAGGGACTGCATTAGTTGGGTTCGGGATGTTCTTAAGTACTACGCAAAATCAATGTGTTATACATTTTTACCAACGCCCAAGATTTTTTTAAATAATATTTTATTTTTATTTTTACCGTACAACATGTATTTTTTATATTTGATTTATAGCGTTTTAAATATATTTTTTTGGTATAGAACTTGCATGTTAATGCTATTTATTATTACCTAAAATTCTAGTAATTAAGTGGCACAGAAACTAAAAAAAAACTACGGACCCAGCTAGTGTAATACCTGTAAAAATCCCGGACCCAACTAGTAAGTATAGCAATTTTTAATTCTAGCCCCGATTCAAATGTAGCCATGCAGACGGTCTTGGTATAAGCACATTCCCGCGACCTCCTAATGTGAAGCAATATGACTAAGCCTTTAGGTATCGGACGTCCAATTAAGTGTGATAATTTGCGTCGCTGCTTTGGTAATTTTTATTCGTGTTGGATATAAGTTTAGCTACGTATTGTCGTACCAAATGGCTCATTCGGGTTTTAAGCATACTTTAAATCAGCATAATATTATATATAAACGATCACGTGTCCGATTCATAAACGGTAAATCTTTCAAAATGTTCACGTATTAGAGTAGTTAATTGTCTTTTTTAGCCCCTATATAACACTTTTGGGCCCTATTTATTAAGGTTTGTGTTATGATTTACGAGTGTAATTATAATTATTTTTTTATCGGTCTTAAAATACAACTCCGGGGCCATCAATTTGTAACTATTATTATATTATAATTTATGACGGTGTATCTACAAAAAAAAAAAATTCATCGATTTGTTTTTCACCACAGCTTCCGGAAACATACCTTCGTCGTTCGACTGTTACATGGTGAACCGCGGATTGAAGACGCTGCAAGTGCGCATGGAACAGCACATGAAGAATGCCACGGCGGTAGCCGTGTACTTGGAATCGCATCCGAAAGTGCTCAGAGTGAACTACATGGGCCTGCCCAGTCACAGGCAACACGAAATCATCAAAAAACAGTTTACCGGCCACAACGGAATAGTGTCGTTCTACATCAACGGCGGCATCGAAGTGAGCACGAAGCTGTTGGAATCGCTGAAGCTGTTCTGCATCACGTGCAGTCTGGGCTGCTACGAAAGCTTGGCCGCTCTTCCGTGAGTATAATATCATCCATCACTGGGAATTTTCGACGGAGTACGTCATCCGAGGTAGTATGGCAACATTGATATCATTGAGGTTTCTATGAGTAAAAATGTTTTCAGACATCAAAAAAAAAATAATAATAACATACCTACTTCATCTGGTCCAAAAATATAAAAACTCGATTTAAGTCATACCCCGGTGCTTTATTTTATATTTGGTAGGCGTATTACAAAAATCAGTGTGAATTCTGATTCACCCTCCCTCAGCTATTCTACTGATTATATAATATTTACCGGAGCCACAATATTATACGCAGTCGGTCACTTGGTCCAACGAAGTTTTTTATTTCACGTTAGTTTGATGCACTTATTGTGGCCCTATTCCCGAAAAAAATCCCAAAATATATTGTCCCGATAAAAAATGTATTTATTATATTGTTTTGTCGTCCGGAAATAATTAATTTTTTTTATTTTATTGAAATGTTCACATGTATAGTTGTAAAATGACGCACACTTCGCTCACGAACGAAGAAAGGCAATCTTCTGGCATTCACGATAATCTCATTCGGCTGTCCATTGGCTTAGAATACTACCAGGACTTGATCGACGATTTAGAACAAGCAATTCAAGCAAGTGGAGCTAAAGATAAATGTTAACGAATTAAACAAAAGTCTTAATAGATATTTTATTATATTATATAATATAATATAAAAATAATAATAAATATATTAACTGATTCCCATCAGCGTTATTTTACACAAATAAAATACTATTTTAATTATAACACAATTGTTTTTCAACAGAAGCTTTTAGTGCTTGATCAAGATCGGCAATTAAATCTTCTTCGGATTCTAATCCCACAGACAAACGGATTAAATTGTCTGTAATTTTTAATGCTGCTCGTTCTTCTTCAGGAACTGAAGAATGAGTCATGAGTGCTCTGAAAAAATAATGTACATATAGCTAAATAGTTGAAAAAAATTCTAAGTATTTTTTACAATAGGTATAATCGATTACAAGTAGTTGTGTATTTTGGTTATAATAATATTATAAAATAGGTATGGCTATTGTTATATTGATTCTCAATGATTTTTCAAAGGTTTTTTTAGCATACATTAGAAAGAATTATTTCTCGAATTACATTACTACAACAAGGTTACGACAATATAAAATAAGATTTGGATAAATCAAAAAATTAAAAATTACGATTAATTGCGAAATATTAAAATGTTGAAATTTGTTGAATCATCTTAACAACATTTTTGAAAAGTACCTATAACTAATTGGTAGTGGTAGTATTAATAAAATACAAAATATGTACTTCAAGTCTTTATAACGTGCAGGTATTCATGACTTCGTGAGAGTATGAGACTATATGGGCGAAATTTGATCATGAGCAAAATCTATCTTTGGGTGAAGAAGAGTACAAATTACAATTCCTCTGTCATAAGTCCTAAGTTAATTTATTAAAATTTTTTTAAAGTATGTTCAAAAAAAAAATTTTAATTGTGTGTATGTCGATTTAAAATTGGTATGTATAGTCTAAGCTCTCAAAATGGGGTGGGTATTAATGAGGTTGAATCGATCTGTTGATTGGCAACAAACCGGGGTAAAATAGTGTTAACATTTTCTAATTTCTAGATAAATTATGAAAACTAATTTTTATATAATGCATTTAATTTCAATTTTGGTAGAATTACTAACCTGCACATTTGCAGTCTTTATAAATCTATATATATAAGTGGAGCCAAAAATGTATAACAATTCATCAATTGAGAACGGCTGGGCCGATTTGGCTCAAATGTTTTTTAATTGTTCGTATTGCCAGGAGAAGGTTTTTACGAAAACAATTTTGGAAAAACACTTTTTCAAAAATTTTTTGGATGGTTTATTTTTTGGGTTCTGGAATGTTTATTCGAATTAAAAATAGCTAAGGAAAGCCAATTTTTTTTAAACTTATAAAATTGTCCATATGACATAATTAATCGTTAAAATGGGGCCTCCGGCCAACACCAAAAAAATGGATCAACATGGAGAAATATGTCGTGGATTGAATATTAGGTATTAATATTATGTTTCACTATATACAGTAAAGTTTAAATTTTGTAAAATGATATTTTTCGTATCGTTTTTATTCTGTTCGATTTTATTTATAGCCGTAAATACCCTCTCTTTACATAGAACGCAACAGTCGATAGAAGAGATAAAGTTCAGATTTTATCTATATGAAATATGACTATTCAATTATTACGACTTAACTTTCCATTTCCGTTGTTGGCGTTAATAGAAAAACCGTGTGTGTACAATTTTATTTTATTTTATTTAACTAATCTAACAAGATAATCCTGGATGGTTTAGATTCACAATTGGACCCGATAGGTCCGACCGAGGGAGTTGCTCAGAGATTTTAATTTTACGAAAAAAAATATTTGTTTACATAGGTACTGCAGTTGCTATTGGTTATAGGGGAAATATAAATATATTTAGTAGAAATGGTTATTATTTTTTTTTTTGTTTATTGGTTGCCTGCAGTGGTTCATCGGGCAGATCAGGTATAAGCATGCATAGTGCATACAATTGAATTTTCGCAAGTTGTCTACCAAGGTGGATGAGTGGCACTTATAGCCTCTCATCGGCGTGTCCACAAACAAAATAAATACAAAACATATTATTTCAATAATACACAGCAGCATAATATACTGCTCGCATTATCACCATCGAGTCTCTTGAAGAGTTGGAATTTTTAACGGGCAACAAAGTGCACGGGATCAGCTAGCAATATAATATATAAATCGTCTTAAAGTCAACATCCTCCCAGGAAAATTTGAAAATTTGAAAATATTTAAAGCATTATTTAAGATGGAAATTACATTTATAGTTAGGTAAATGTAAGTGTGATCGATTTTGTGAACTGAGAGTGCGGTTTTATTCTTTTGCTGGTCAAAACTTTTACCTCCATATTTAAAAACTGTAATGATGGGACTGTTAAGAGGATGCTACCCACGCGTTTGTTGTCCCCGTCTTATCAACTTACGGCATAGCGAATTGTCGTTCACTAGTTTGAATAGTGTGCCTTGTGCCAAACTTTTAGGTAAGAATATTATCTATGCTTAAACGTCGGCGGATTTTCGATGATTTCATTTTCAAGCAAGACACGACGTGTATGTGAAATAATAACAGAAATCAAAAATGCTCATATCTCACTTGAAAATTAAAATATCCAAGTATCCACCGACGCTTAAGCATAAATTATTATCTAAAACTTTGATAATGAGTCGAGTCACTCTAATATCAAAACTAACAGCACACTATTGAAACCAGTGAACGAAAATGTTCTATGTCGTACCTGTGTCAAACGGAGACAACAAATGTATGGGAAGCGTCCTTTTAACATCTTCCAAGTTGATTCATAAAAATATTTTAACAAGTTCTTCCTTTCACTCTCTCCTCCCATTGAATTTTAATGAGCACGCAACCGATTATTAGGTATATTAATGTATAATAGATGTTAACTTACGGATGAGAGGCCAGACTCTCGAAGCCACCGAGACTTTCAGCTAAGCAAAACACTTTGATGGCCTGTAAAAATCTAGTGGCTTCCCCAATACCTCCTTTGATGTAAAACGACAACATGCCGCTGAAACCGCTGGCCTGTTTTATAGCCACCTTGTGTTGGGGATGCGATGGCAAACCTGGGTACAGCACTTGTTCGACGAGCGGATGCTGTTCCAAGAACTTGGCCACGGCTAATCCGTTCTTCATGTGCTCTTTCATGCGGACATGCAGGGTTTTCAGGCCACGGTTGACTAGGTAACAGTCGAAAGGCGACGACATGATACCGCACGCTGCAGAAAATGACAACGTTTATTAAGACAAATGATTATATTTTGTACGTTTTTATACATTTGTATAGTGAAAGAAATATGTGTCGCAAGCGTCAACAAATACTGAACAGTATATCAGTATATGTTAATATCATATAGGTAGGCCAATAAAGCAAATGTGCAAAAGTAAAAAAACAACACTAGTGTAAATTATTTTCATTATAGGCATTAATAGACAGCCGGAACGGTGACCGGCGAAGTTGGTTCGTGGAGAACTCTGAAGGACAGAAATACTGGTGTGACTCGCGAGAGACACTCGAATTTTGTACTTTTCTTTTAATAAAGGATGACTCACTCAACTGCACATTTATTGTACACATTTTTTTAAAAGTTACAGTACTACTTAACTGTTTGCTTTTGAGTTCGATCTGAAATCGATATTAAATAATGGTCGTCGAGGGCTATAAAAGTTAAATAATTGAGTATAGTACTATTAACTCTTGAGAACCTTACTGAAATCGGATAATTCAAGGTCTTTTGATTTCTCAAATGTAGTAGAAGTACCTGTAACAAGCTGATATGAGCTTATACGACATAGCCATGGGAGAGGGAGTCCACACGCCACTGTTGTGAATATCCACGTAAACAAATTATAATTGATCATAAAATAGATTTATTAGGTTATTTTCAATATCAGGCTAGCTGTGTTCCTAAAAAGGTTATAATTATGTGTTTATACAATATTCCGAAAAAAAAACTTGTTGTCAATATAAAATTGAAAATATGAGCATCAATTTAAAAAAATAAAAACCGTTCTTTATTTGAGATTACAAAAATGTTAGTCCTAAAGAGACGCATGTAGATATTAGGTATATTCACATAAATTGTTATAAACTATAGAAGGATCACACTCAGACATAATATTTACACGAACTAACTCATGAGTGTATTGGTACTTACTGGTCTGAATGAAGACTAGACGATCGAATAATTCAGTATCGTTTAAGACAAGTGCACCCATTGTGACGTCCGAATGACCATTCATGTATTTACTCAATGAGTAGAACACGACATCTGCACCCAATTCTAGTGGTCTCTACGTACAAATAACAAAACACAGTGTAAACGAATAAATCTAATACCACTGTGGTGTCGTCAATGTTGAAAAAATATTTTTATGGGCAATATGTCAATAAAAAAAATATTTTTTACTAATTAAGATGACTGAACAAGTGTAAGTGTGTAACGACAAGTGAACAATAATATACAAGTCTATACGTTTGTACTTTCGATACTTATCAAAATAAATATTTGAAAATATCTATTTATCCTTAAGCTCTTACTACTACAAAAGCGTTTTTACGATTTTAGTATCACCTGGATTTCAATATATTATATAATGGTTTAAACATAATCAAATTTAGTAAATTTTATAAATGGTAATTTATTACAATATGAATGGTTATAAATCCACTGAAATACTTATCATAAGGAAGGATGTACAAACAATTTACAAATTTACAATATTCATACCTCGCTTTAAATTAAAAATATAATAAAAAGCTCATGATATGATACCTTTAATTTTCATAAGAGGCCAATTCACTCTAATTTTTAAACTAATGGAGCCAAAAGTAATCTGCAGAGCGTGAAATTTAATTTGTAACGTCCTCTTAATGTTCTATATTTCTATACCTACACCCGTACGTAGATGTTTAATGTGTATTTTATATTTATATATATGTATTTTTTAATCTAGACTTTATACAATCCATATATGATCAGCAAAACGGATGTTTTTTCCTAAATTATATTATTATGTAGCTGCATGAGTGTGACTTGAGGGAAGAACCAACTAGTGAAGGCACTTCGGCATGGTATAACATTATATAATATACATTTTAAGCGAGTTAACA